ATTGTTTCTTCACAAAGTTCTTCAAGTCCTGTATCAAAATGAACTTCTATTTTTTGAAGTGTATTTAAAGCCAGTTGAGCATCTGCCCATGATGTGACATCTATTAATTTACTATTTGCTGTATTAATCTTTAAATAATGTATACCATTACAATGACTAAAGATTAAATTTCCTACTAATCTAGTTCGAAAAGGAGTTAAAATAACCGCACTTGGATTATCTTTTATTAACATCCAATGCCAATCCTGAACTGCCATTTGAAAATGGTCAATATCAAATTCTCTTAAATATTGTGCATAATTGAATAAAGGTCTGGCTGTAATGGGTATTTTGATACCGGAATTTGTTAATTGTTGTTTTTCGGAATCAGCGAGTAAAGAAACATAAGTTTGAATAAGTTTTGCTCCTTCCTCACGATATAAAAGATGTTCAAAAGGTTTATACCATAATATAGGAATTGTAAGTTGACACCAAGTTCGATTAGACAAAATACAAGATACAAGTGAATTTTTATCATCCTTTAAAAAATTCAAAATTTCTAAAATACAATCCAATGGAAGTTCGGGTATCTTAAGATTTGCCATGTTTTAATGGAATTATTATTATTATTAATTATTAATGAGAATACCTTTTTACTTTTTTTTAAAAAAAAATTATAAGGAAATATGTTATATTTTTGAAAAGAAAGACTTATGATAAGAAAGGTTTTTGAAAGAATTAAAAAAATGTTGAGAGAAAAAAATACATTTTTAATATAATTTTTTTATTGCATTTACCGCCAAATCACCATAAATTATTAATCGTCAAATCATCCGAGAAACCCGAACTGATTGTCAAATTAGAGTATACAACAACATTTCTAGAGGTTCACAAAATTTGTAAAAATTTTTCATCGGATGACATAAGCATTATGTAATTTTTTACCAGATTTTGTTGATCAAGTGATGTAAGTTTCGTGCATGTGAATTTATGACAAATTTCTTTTGACGCATTTTGTATTACTTCGTTCTCTTTATGCCGACCCTTCATAGAAAAGAGGGGTCAGAATTATCAAGTGTCACAGGTTTATTTTCACTTAATCGAGTTAACTAATTATCTTCATATTTTCGCACCTAAACCCACTTCATTATTAGGTTTCTTCCCAAATTTTAGGATTTTTTATCAATAGATTTTTAAAGCAGATTCTCCTTCAATAAATTCTTATTGTTGTAAATTTCTTTAGACATTAAAGGGAAAAAAACAAGTGAACAATCAAATTACATTGATGCGATAAATGTTGAATCATTTTCCAAATAAAAACTAGAAGTATAATCACCATACAAGTACTATATAATTGAACAAATAAATAATTTTTAATGGTTATGTAGAAAAATCTAAGAAAGCGAAAGTATGATCATAAGTCACGCACGCAAATGAAAATTTATATGAGCTGATTTGACATTTCTAAATGTGATAACAGGCAAATAAGCTCTATTAGTAATTAGGTCATTAAATAATGATGATGCCATTCCAATTATATTACATATTTGCTGAAATATTCTGGGGGATTTTACGACGTGATTTTCTATTTACATTAGTGTGGCGTTTTAACTGTTTTAACTGATTATGACCCCGTAATTTTCCTGTGGTGCCAC